TGGGCGGCAGATTAATTCAGGGCAGGATACAAATGCACTACAGGAGGATTTAAATAAACTGCAGGAGTGGTCAGAAAAATGGCAAATGAAATTCAACACCAGCAAGTGCAGCGTACTTAATATTGGAAGAACAAATACTGTCAATGTATACAGCCTTAACAACATCAACCTAGAGAGTCGACTTGTGAAAGAGACTTAGGGGTACTTGTAAACCCGGACCTACGGCCTAGAAAACAGTGCGATAATATTCGAAATAAGGCAAACAGAGTATTAGGTTTTTGTCTAGAAGTGTAAGTAATAAGAGTGCGGAAGTCATTTTGCAAGTATATCTTGCGCTAGTTAGGCCGCACCTCGATTATGCTGTTCGGTTCTGGTGCCCTTATTATAGAATGGATATTAATTCAGAGTCGGTGCAGCGAAGAATGACGAAAATGATTCCGGGACTTAGAAACCTTCCATATCAAGATAGGTTAAAGAAACTAAACTTGCATTCCCTAGAAAGACGAAGAGTGCGGGGAGATATGATAGAAGTATTTAAGTGGGTGAAAGGAATCAATAAAGGGGATATAGATAAAGTTCTTATAATATCCGAATAGGATAGGACTCGAAGCAACGGATTTAAGTTGGATAAGTTTGGGCTTAGGAGGGAGATAGGAAGGAACTGGTTCACAAATAGGGTGGTAGACGAGTGGAACAAGCTTAGCAACTTTGTAGTAAGTGTTGGAACGCTGGAAAGTCTTAAAAGGAGGCTAGATAGATTCATGGATGATAAAGTATGGTAGTAATTCTCAACAGGAGCTGCGATGCACAGGCCAACCGGCCTATTGCAGACTCCTTTTGTTCAACCCAACTAAAATTCACTGCATTACCGGAACCATAATAATACCTAATGATGCTCCTCGGTGTTGAAGGTTTGTTTATAGGACAATTATTACAAGAATGTGCCTCTTTTTGAGTGCACGGTTTTGATGTCGAAATTATGGGAAAAAACCCTCAGAATATCATTACCAAAGGCATGTGGGTTTGTAAGGGCGTGCGTTTTTCAACACCTACATCACCCTTATCTTACTTACTTCTCTTGTTCTTTTTACCTACTTCAGTTCTTTTTGGTAGCATGGACGAGGGTCTAGGCACATGGGTATGGTAATTCTGGTATCAAGTCACTTGGACGGAAATAAAGGTTGCTACTGTGGAAGAAATGAATACTCCTAAAATACTCTAAGAACAGGTTTATTAATATGGAATCAAAGGGAAAAGAGATATTATTTACATATAACTACCAGGCTCAACTCCTGGGCTTATTGCAGACTCAGTATTTTCTTATTTCTACTCAACAGCAATTACTTAGATCTTACACTCTTACTGCACACAACCTTACTGGTGTTACATTACATTACCTAGCAGGACCAGTTCCTTGGCCCTACTCACAATACATAGTACATGGCACTTCTTGTAGATTACTTTACTGCCACTCCAAGTGGGTACTTCTACTTCACCCACATCTTCTAGTGGTACATCTCATTACAGTTCAAGACTTTACTCCTATTCCCAAGTGGACAACTTTACTCCTCACACATTACAAGGTATTTTACACAACTTACTGACTGTTGGTAGTGCATATGAGATGCACTCACAACATACACGTTAATACTGAAACCAGCAAATACATGGGTCCACTACCCAACATGGGATAATTATTCCCTGCTAATTATCCCCCAAACATACATATTACAACACACTCTGTGGACATATAACTTCCAGGGAGCGTCCCAGGGTAGAACACTGGGGCTCACGACCGTTGCTGTGGTCGGTGGTAGCCAGACACATGGCGAGTCTGGGGCCTGGCTCCACGAGGTAGTGGAGCAGATTAATCATGTCGAATCGGTGCCATCGTTTCATATATTGATCCCTGCTGGGTATCTACTGAATCCGGGGCAGTCGTTGAGTGATCCAAGAGCCACAATTGGATCTGGAGACAAACGGGAGAGCAGACGTCAGGGACCGGAAGCATGACAACACAATCACAACAAATCTCTTGTCTGGAAACGACAGACGACATTTACGTTATATTACTTCTTACACTGGGTGAATGACAATTCCACTGTTAAAGCATGAACACTGATAAACACTGATAATCACTACAATTGACTGAATCAAACTGAGTGGCTAGGGAACACAGAACATACCTGGAGACAAACGGGAGAGCAGACGTCAGGGGACGCTCTATCTCCCTTACCCGTGGTATATATACCCTGAGTTGCCAGCGATCGCTACTCACGCAATGACAGAGATTACAAACAACTCAACTGTTACTCATTCAAGGATGACCCTCAGTTGACAAAGGTCTGGCGAATTACTTGAGTTGATTTACACAGACTAATCCAAGATTGAGTTTCACAGGAGAAGTGGAATAAACAACGTGTTGACAACTGTGTTCGAAGGCGGGACTTACTGGGAGGGATCACGAGCGTAAAACGAATGGGAAAAACACGCTCCTTCTTAGGGTTAGCTAACCAGCTATCTTCTCATGTTTTGCGGTCGTGGAGCTTAATAAGAATCATTAGTGTTAAAAAAAACTAGCAGTCAACGTGACCATGACAGGCTGTGGCCTCCTGTGCCACAGACACACATACACACACACAGGACTGAACAATGACGGACTGTAAAGGGTCGGCCCTACAAGGTACTTTTTCGTTATACTTCATTTTTTTTAAAGTTAATTTTGCAATTAACCTAACACAACTTATTCTAACCTAACCTATCTTAACCTAAGCTAACCAGTTAATATTTAGTAGCAGCCAACACCTAGCTGAGTCATATATAAGGAAAATAAAAAATAAAAATAATTTATTCAATCACGTTTCGGTCAGAAATTTATAGTTTTTGAGTTATTTTAACGTTTATTTTATAATATTTGGCCAATCAGCGCTTGTTGATGTGACGTAATACTCGTGTGCGCCAATCAGCCCAAGTCTCGATTCTCGGGAATTTAAATAAAGACATCTGTGTGAGATGTACACTCGCACCAAAAAGTGTGATATGTCGGGAAGGTTGGCAAGTGTATCCTCATAAGTGGGCGCTGTCCTATTTCATTAGCTGCTGGTGACTTTGGTGTAACAATAATGATAATTACTCAAAGGTGATTGAACATTAATATCATTACTCATAAGATACTTTAAATAAGGGTGAACAAGTTGATTACAGTTCTGTTAGTGGAAAAATAAAGACTTTAAACTAACCTGAAATGCGTCTTATTACATGTACAAATACTGTATGCGAACACCTAGCTGGGAGAAAAGATGTCCGGGAGAAATCACCTTTACAACCGGCCCGATTTTCTTTATTCTTATTTATTGTTGACTGATTGACTTTTTTCCTTTTTTTCTTTCTTTCCATATTTTTCTATATATTTTCTTCACTATTTCTTTCCGTATTGTGTCCAAATAACAGTTCTCCTAATTTTATTGTTTTCTGAAGACTGTGGTACAATAGTTATTTCCAAGACGCTGTACAAATGTTGTATTTTTAAATGATAGTGCGGGAAAGCTAACACCTAAGCTATTCCGTACATCTTAAAACGCCTACAACTCATGAGACAGATGGTAGTCATGTCTTAATGCATTTACTTGTCCATTTAATTTCCGTTTTCTTTGACTGGCGTAAGGTTTGTATTTTTTCTGCGACTCCTAAAAAAATAAATCGATTAAACTTTACCGCTCTTGATCGCCACAACAAGCTATTATGGCGAGAGTTGTTCAGTACCCCGAGAATATCCCGTAACTACCCTCATGAATTACAGCCTTTGTTGGCCCATACAGGAGTCTGCTTCTGGCGTGCGACAGAGACTTGGCGTGTCGTCCTTATTTAAGTATCTGGTTGTTACGGCTACCACTTTAATATTCTCTCGGTGGATAAAATTCTTTGTAAATTTTGTGTGTATTACTTTTGTGTATTGTGAAGGAGGGCATCAGACCACATGCAGGGTGATTCAACAAAGAGTACATTAAATTGGAGGATGAAATCCTTAGATAATTCTAAACCACAATGTCTCTATGGTAAAATGTCAGATTCTGCAGAGTTTCCATGTTACAATACATTTAAGATGTTGTATTAATGAGAGTGAATTTGATGTGAAACCCCCATAGATTTTTGTAATCATTTATTCACAGACCTCTACAGTGTGACCCCTCTTTGTTACACCCTAAAGGAAATGGTCAAAGCTGCCCCCTTCTGCCTCAATGCAGGCCTGTACACTTCGTACCATTGATTGTCAGACGCATTCCAGAATGCCTGGACTATGTTTAATTTGGTCGCACCTGTCACGAACACGTGGGCATATGCAGAATCTGACATTTTACCATAAAGACTTTGTGGTTTAGAATTATCCTAGGATTTCATCCTCCAATTTAATGTACTCTTTGCTGAATCACCCTTATATCTGTGGTTACTATTTTCAGCTTGTAGTTACTTACGTATGTAATATTTGGTTAGGACAGCTCTTTATGTTACACTGAGGCTTTTACTGTAGTCTTCATGTTTACCTCGCTGTCTGACCTGTACTGTGTTATGAGTGCCGCCCGGGGCCGGTATGCCTGAGGCTCGATGAATGGTTTTGAAATAAAGTTCACCAGACACAATACTTTATTTGACGGCTGAGAGTAGAGTCAGGGCTTGATTAATTTATAGAAACATATAACTTATTTTAGATGAATTATCTAAGTTTGACAAATAAGTTTTGGAGGGACGGTTGTGAAGTTGTTAGGTGACCACACCCATCTATTCAACCTTCAGCCGCTAAACCAACCCTACCGCTCCCGCCCACAGTAAAAAACTAAACGTTTTGGTTAAGCTCAGTGAAGGCGCCCTCAGGGGTGCTTACTGGCTTAGAAGCTCAAATGGTTCTTACAGTTATGTAAAATAATTCGTGAACATTACCCCTTTGTTGACACTAACACAATATTATTTTTAGAAATGGTAAGGTGACAATTGAATGACAAGTCTTCTTGTTTTACAAGTTTTATTAAGCCACACATATATTTATAAGCTTTGTATACACTGACCATTGGTAACAACTGTGCTGGAGTAGAGGCGAGGGACGTCTACTCTCTACCATCGATGAGTCCAGCTGAACAATAGTAGCCCCGACCCAGTCTACTAGTGTACCAGTAAACGACACTAACCTAACAATGTGTGGTCTTAACTAGGGAGTCACTGAACACTGTCTCCGCCACACACTGCAGAGAGAGAAGGGATTCAGCTCAGGGGAGGAAGGAGACAACACCTGCTGACAGGAGGTGATTAGGGGAAGGGGTAGTTGTTCCAGGAAGGTCCCCAAGATCCACCTGGGTAATGAAAACCGGACCCGGGAGCTGCTGGGTGTCTGGTGCGGAGCTGTGGGCTGGTGTCCACTACGTCAGGACCTTGATGGGCGGCGGCGTCTATTACATCAGGGAACAGCTGGCGTCCCTGCCACTGTTGCCTGTACCACTGGTCCTGCCGCAACTGCTCCTGACGGTGGTGATGGTTGACGAGCTGTGACAGAGGTACACCATCGTTGACATCCCACTGTAACTGTTCTCTGTTGTTGAAACCCTGGTCAAGGGTCCTGAACTGCGGTCCTTGTCTAGGAACGGGACGAGGAACAGGGACGGGACGAGGCACAGGGAAGGGGTGAGGGACGGGGACAGGCTGGGGACCGGGGGCAGGCATGGGACCGGGGACAGGCCGAGGAATGGGGGCAGGCATGGGACCGGGGACAGGCCGGGGAATGGGGATAGGCTGGGGACCGGGGATTGGGCCAGGGAAGGGACCAGAGAAATACCACTGCCGCTTGTCTCGCTTGGGATCATCTTTAGTAGTGGCCGCGGGTTCAGCTGGCAGAGGGTCGGCGGGAGAGTCAGCGGCGGCGACGGGGGAGTTCTCCTGGGCCCTCACACCACCACACACCAGCACACACAACACCTGCAGGCACGAGACAGTAAACAACACATGGCAAATCAATTATAGCATCTCTACCATTCTGAATGACAACAATCAGCTGTAGCATTAAGTTGTTTCCCGGCAACACTAGTGATTAAACGCAGATACTTTTTCGTAAGTAAATTTGTAATGCTTCCTAAAACAAATCCGCATAGTGTAATAAAAGTGTTAATCCACAAATGGCTGTAGGATACGTATCGCTTGTAGTACTTGTAACGAGCGCGTGTCCTTAACTTAGTCATCTACAGGAGCCTCACTACACAACAGATAGAACTTTGTGCATACGATATAATACATCACCGTATCTACAATCAAAGACAAAAGTCGTGTCGCGGTTTTGTCCGAAGATTAAATATAACTGGTGAAACATTATGAGAGCCCTACCACAAGGCAGAGCGGCACCAAGAGTTTAGCCCTTCGGCATATGTTGTCACCAAATGTCAGGACACGATTTTTGTCTTTCAATGTACATAAATAGTGTAGAAACTTACTTCTGGGTTTCATTTGGCGTTAGTGAGGAGGAGAAGGAAGAATGGGGAAGAGGAGGAGGAGGAGAAGGAAGAATGGGGAAGAGGAGGAGGAGGAGAAGGAAGAATGGGGAAGAGGAGGAGGAGGAGAAGGAAGAATGGGGAAAAGGAGAAGAAGGAAGAATGGGAGAAGAGGAGGAGAAAGAATAGGGAAGAGGAGGAGGAGGAGAAGGAAGAATGAGGAGGAGGAGGAGAAGGAAGAATGGGAAGAGGAGGAGGAGGAGAAGGAAGAATGGGGAAGAGGAGGAGGAGGAGAAGGAAGAATGGGGAAGAGGAGGAGGAGGAGAAGGAAGAATGGGGAAGAGGAGGAGGAGGAGAAGGAAGAATGGGGAAAAGAGAAGAAGAATGGGAGAAGAGGAGGAGAAAGAATAGGGAAGAGAGGAGGAGGAGAAGGAAGAATGGGAAGAGGAGGAGGAGAAGGAAGAATGGGGAAGAGGAGGAGGAGGAGAAGGAAGAAAAGAGGAGGAGGAAAAGGAGGAGGAGGAGAAGGACGAATGAGGAGGAGGATGAAGAGGAGTAAAATAAGAATGAGGAGGAGGAGAAAAAGAAGCAGTGGAGGTAAGAAGATAAGTTAAGAGGAGGAGGAAGGAAAACACGAGAGAAATGTACACAGTTCCTTACTACCACCACCATCACAAAATATGACACCATCACCACTATCACCATCACTATATCTCACCATCACCACTATCACCATCACTATATCTCACCATCACCACTATATACATGTGTGCGTTATTTTGGGGGGTGACGATTAGTGAAGGCTCGAGACAGGTGGGCGGTGAGTTGTCGTCTATAAAACAATATGGTGGATGTACCCTAACGTTAAAGAACGGCTCCAGGATCTAGTTGGGGGGCCGCGGTTACGGTATACAACGACAGGTTCCAGAGCTTCGTCAGGCGCCGGATATTAGGTGATTATCTGGCTATTGTGTGTTCTCTATTTTGGTCTCATCGGGTACTTGATAGCATTCATGGTGTTTTAACTAAATGTTATTGAGGATGGTTCCCTATACTGCGTTAACCAGAGCACCGGGGAAGGTATGCCGGATGACCTGGAGTAAATTTGTGAATCCAATCCATACGGTGTGGGAAGCTACGAGGTTAAGGGCAAGAAGGAGGGGAGTTCCATTTTCACCTTCTTCCCCTGGCTGCTGCTCCTGGGTGAGGTATCTCATGGGGACAAAATAGAAAAACAAACTGATTTAGATTTTGATATAAAAGATTATGTAACCAAATTTATAACCTATAATATGGGTGCCTTCAGAGAGGTGTATTTCACGAGTTTGGTTCTACACCTCTGTTTTGCTTTCGTTGACATAGCAATATTTTATTTTCTCTACCATATAACGGGAAACAGAAGTGTGAAGTTCCTCAAATCATATCCCTCATGGGACCGAGATGTAGTTGGCCTCACCGACGACATCAGCTTGGCCTTCCCTCCCTTTGTCACCTGCGAGATAAATCAATACACTCAGGTGTTGGGCTTAACAATGGTTATTTACGATTGTTATAACAAAATGGCCGAATTGCATGAAAAACGATTTATTTTGATGATGGTGTATACTACAGTGGTGTTGTATATGGTGTACACTACAGTGGTGTTGTATATGGTGTTCATACTGCCGACCTTGTGGGTGAGGAGGTCGCTCTTGAGTACAGGTGGTGCTCTTCCCAGAGTTGAGAAACGAGTCCTCAGCTGGGCCACCATCGGCGATGTCACGGTCTCTTACTTCCTGGAGAAGGAAGTGACAGGGCGTGGCTACTGCCAGGCCATTGATGCCATCGGCAGTCGGCCGATCAACTGCCCACCGGTCTGTCCACCGACTGTACCCCTCGAGGTCGTGGTCGGCTGAGACCCCATTCATACAATTATTGTACACTAGCAGAATCGCTCATCCGCTAGGCCACGGTAGGACGCCACCCTCCGGGAGGCTCCACATTGTCTCACTGTTCAGTCCCCAAAACTTCTTCTTCCATCAATAGTTCATTAACGGTGTATGTAAGTTCCACCATGTTTTTCACTACAACGGTACAGCAAAGTATATTTTTTTAGCATTAAACTGTTATTATTTTATTGTCTAATCATCATAACACCATCCATCATCACTACATATAACACATCCATCATCACTACATATAACACATCCATCATCATCACATATAACATCACATCATCATCTACATATAACACCACCCATCATCACTACATATAACACCATCCATCATCACTACATATAACACCATCCATCATCATCACCATACATATGACACCATCATCACTACATATAACACCACATCCATCATCATCATACATATAATATCCATCCCATCATCATCTACATATAACACCATCCATCATCACTACATATAACACCACCCATCATCACTACATATAACACCATCCCATCATCACTACATATGACACCACCCATCATCACTACATATAACACCACCCATCATCACTACATATAACACCACCCATCATCACTACATATAACACCACCCATCATCACTACATATAACACCACCCATCATCACTACAGACAGACTTCTTTTGTTTTATATAGATCGATTTTTAATGAATACATACCAATTTATTTTATACGGCGTTTTAATACAAATCCTTATGTAAACTATTATACATTATGAGTTAATTTATTGTGACAATGGCTGTTCACTGTTCTCTTTGTCGACGGTCATAATACCTCTGTTTAACGGACTACACAAGAGCGTTACATAGAGGTCCATCCATATAACGGACTATGCCTGTTATATTGATGTCCGTTTAATGAAGGTTTTACTCTATACGTCCTCATGTACATTAACTATACACTATAACGTGCATAGTGTCTCTCATAAGCTGAATAATTATGTTAAAATTCGTTATAAACCATCCAATCATACACTACATATAACACCACCCATCATCACTACATATAACACCACCCATCATCACTACATATAACACCATCCATCATCACTACATATAACACCACCATCATCACTACATATAACACCACCCATCATCACTACAAACATTTGTTTTATATAGATCGATTTTTAATGAATACATACCAATTTATTTTATACGGCGTTTTAATACAAATCCTTATGTAAACTATTATACATTATGAGTTAATTTATTGTGACAATGGCTGTTCACTGTTCTCTTTGTCGACGGTCATAATACCTCTGTTTAACGGACTACACAAGAGCGTTACATAGAGGTCCATCCATATAACGGACTATGCCTGTTATATTGATGTCCGTTTAATGAAGGTTTTACTCTATACGTCCTCATGTACATTAACTATACACTATAACGTGCATAGTGTCTCTCATAAGCTGAATAATTATGTTAAAATTCGTTATAAACTTTATCCAATTTCTTACATCTTAAGGTCACCAGAGGAGGCGTGAGGAATTGTGACGTCATAAATGTGGGTGAATGGTGGTCTCTTAATCTCAGTCATAACCTAACCTAACACTAACCTACACTTAACCTAACCCGGATTGAAAACCACGAATAAAACCCCGGATTTAGGAGCAGTGGGTAAACATCGAACTCCTGAATCCCGGCAGATTTAAAGGATTACAAAAACCGATTCAGGAACCCGGATTTAAAAACAAAATACTCCTAAGTTTTAGATTTAGTGTTGAGGACTTGAAAGGAAGAGCATTTGGGAGAGATGAGGGAGGGTGAGGGGGGAGAGTGAGGGAGAGAGTGAGAGGTGGAGGGTCCGATATAGAGGAGTGCGGGAGGTAGAGTGTGTGAGAGTTTAGGATATTATGAGAAGGACAGTGTATGGGAGAGGTTGAGACAGAGTGTGAGAGAGATGATGGTTGATGAAGGCGGGGGAAGGGGTGAGAAACAAGTAGATGGGAGAGGAAGAGTTAAGAGGGAGGTTAAGGTGATAGTTATTCAATATCACCATCACAGACGTTTAGTGTGTATAAGTAACCTGTTTCTCCACACACGACAAACCTCGTAAGTACAGTGTGTAACTTTTGCAACATTCCTGAAGGCACAAGAATGGACAATGTCTTTCTATAGCACAAAATAAGGTACATTCACTAAAAAACACATAGATTCTTCACTACAGGCAGGAGCTTTTACTCACCCAGAGCCGCATGGTGCACCTTGCTATGGAGAAGGTAAAATGCGTCCCCCGTAGGATCCTAGCGACTATTTGTACCGACCTCAGCTCAGCAAAAACTGCCAGCATCGCCATCCTGTGAAGACGCCGAGGTTGTCCTTGGCTCAGGTGGGGTATACTGTATGGGTAGTGGGTGTAGAGGTCGGCCTGGCCAACACCGTTAACCTTAATTCTCCACTACACTACACTACACGGTGGCGTTTACATTTTCCTGAAACACCATGCGAGTTGGCATAGCTGATAATGATGCACTACCCCTCAGTCATTATCAGAGGGACGCTGCACCAGCCTCGTTTAGAGACGTGTGTTCTCATAGGGGATTTCTTTCACACGAATATCTGTGCGGGACGTTCTTTACCAGCCGAGTCCACAGATTCCGATTCATAGTGACATCTTTCACTGGGGAGCCAAAGTGCCATCTTTCACTGGGAGAGCCATAGTGACATCTTTCACTGGGAGAGCCATAGTGACATCTTTCACTGGGAGAGCCAAAGTGACATCTTTCACTGGGAGAGCCAAAGTGCCATCTTTCACTGGGAGAGCCATAGTGACATCTTTCACTGGGGAGCCATAGTGACATCTTTCACTGGGGGAGCCAAAGAGACATCTTCAATGGGAGAGCCATAGTGACATCTTTCACTGGGAGAGCCATAGTGACATCTTTCAGTGGGGAGGTGCCATAGTGACATCTTTCAGTGGGAGAGCCACAGTGACATCTTTTCAGTGGGAGAGCCATAGTGACATCTTTCAGTGGGAGAGCCATAGTGACATCTTTCAGTGGGAGGGCCATAGTGACATCTTTCAGTGGGAGAGCCACGTGACATCTTTCGGGGAGAGCCATAGTGGCATCTTTCAGTGGGAGAGCCATAGTGACATCTTTCAGTGGGAGAGCCATAGTGACATCTTTCAGTGGGAGGGCCACGTGACATCTTTCAGTGGGAGAGCCACGTGACATCCTTCAGTGGGAGGCAGTAGTGACATCCTTCCAGTGGGAGAGCAGTAGTGACATCCTTCAGTGGGAGAGCAGTGGACATCTTTCAGTGGGAGAGCCACTTTCAGTGGGAGAGCATCTTTCAGTGGGAGAGCCATAGTGACATCTTTCAGTGGGAGGGCCATAGTGATATCTTTCAGTGGGAGAGCCACGTGACATCTTTCAGTGGGAGAGCCACGTGACATCCTTCAGTGGGAGAGCAGTAGTGACATCCTTCAGTGGGAGAGCAGTAGTGACATCCTTCAGTGGGAGAGCAGTAGTGACATCCTTCAGTGGGAGAGCAGTAGTGACATCCTTCAGTGGGAGAGCAGTAGTGACATCCTTCAGTGGGAGAGCAGTAGTGACATCCTTCAGTGGGAGACATCCTTCGTGGGAAGCAGTAGTGACATCCTTCAGTGGGAGCCATAGTGACATCCTTCAGCGAGCAGTGGGAGAAGCATGTGGTAGACGTGGGAGAGCAGTAGTGACTTTCAGTGGGAGAGCAGTAGTGACATCCTTCAGTGGAATAGTGACATCCTTCAGTGGGACCATAGTGACATCCTTCAGTGGGAGAGTACAGTGAGTGACATCCTTCAGTGGGAGAGCAGTGTGACATCCTTCAGTGGGAGAACAGTAGTGACATCCTTCAGTGGGGAGCAGTAGTGACATCCCCAGTGGGAGAGCAGTAGTGACATCCTTCAGTGGGAGAGCAGTAGTGACATCCTTCAGTGGGAGAGCAGTAGTGACATCCTTCAGTGGGAGAGCAGTAGTGACATCCTTCAGTGGGAGAGCAGTAGTGACATCCTTCAGTGGGAGAGCAGTAGTGACATCCTTCAGTGGGAGATCCTGCCTCTCACTTAACCTTGAATTTTTCAGATGTAGAGGACTTAGCTCTGCTGGAAGAGGTGAGAAAGTGGAAGGATGTTTTCTTGGTGCTGCTGGACAACAAAACATCGCCTCACACCCAACTGTTATTATATCAATTATACTTTTCATAATATTTTTATTATAAACTGTGCTACTAGTTTATTTTAATAGTTATGTAGCGTATAAACAAGTTTTTCATTATTAATCGTACGTATTTTTCAGTTTCTTAAACCCCTTTGCTTATACAGTAAGTTTCGCGCCCTCAAGTTCTCAGAATGAGTTATATTAAACCTTTTGATAATGTTTCCTACTTGTCTCCTATTAATTATAGTAATTCAATCAATACCATAAGTAGGATAGTAAGACATGAACACTTTCCCAATGTCAGGAATGAAGATGGATACAATATGTTAATGACATGGACTAAACCAGCAGTTGAAGAACAGTATCCGGTGGTTAAATGGCCTTTTATTTGGGAAAATATAACACGTAAATATATGGCTCCTCACCAGAGAGGCTTCATATACAGGTATAGTAATGAAAGTCTACCAACAAATCAGAGACTAAAAATGTTAAACATAAAACAAGATGATAGTTGTGTAAGATGTGGTGAGGTAGAATATCCCTTACATGTATTTTACTTCGGGTTCCATAACAGAGATAATTAAATGGCTTAAAAATATCTTGAATACAGTCTGCAGTGTTAACAGTAAATTATTTCCGTATTTGCTAATGTTTAAAATTAACTGTAGTAATAAAACGGATTGGAATACAATGATCATGTTAATGTCAGATTATATTTTTCGTATGTGAATTAGTAGGAAGGAATATTACAATGTTGAGGAGGCTTTAGCCTTTATTAAAAGTAGGATGTTGTAATAATTGGACGATCAAGAGTATTATAAAAGAGAAATGATCCACCTAGTTCACAGAAAAATATATTAATATGTAATATATCTATGTATGTAAGCTGTCGGTATATTTTGAAAGCATGAATGTGATTGGCCAACTGGTCCGCACGAAGACTTGCTCTACAATATTTACATCTAAGTTACAATACCCTTACGACATGACAGAATAGTTTTGAGTATTGGGGGATTACAATATTGTTAGCAGTTTGTAGTTAGAAGTCAACAAGTGAGACGCTGATGCTTGTACTAGGCCACCCGTCTTCACAATCCAGTTTTGATACAAGCGTTATCATTGACAGTTACATATTATTATTTCCTCCAATTTGCATATTAAGTGGATTTAAAGAAATATCCAAATTTTTATGTTAAATAAACTAACTTGTTTGAAATCAATTGTTACACTGAAGGAAATAAGCATTGTCAAGTGGCACCATTATCCACTTTATACTTTCGATAATTTCTTGTTAGAAGGAATTTGATATTAATTTTATTTTTTTATTTAGACATTAATGAGTTATTAAGGTTAAGAATCAAGGAGACATGTAACAAAGAACCACTACCGCACGCAGACACGGACAAACGACTCGGGTTCGACTGGTTTAAATTCTTACATAACTTGATATTTCTCCCAGAATTCTTGATTTTGTCCTTCGTCACTCACCAACAATAGTGACCTTGAGAGTCACTAGACGGTCCGGGTCGTTATTATTAAGGGTAGCTCTTGCGTCTAGTCCTCCTGTACTGGACACTCCAGGCGTCTCTGGTTGGTACCCTATAAACTGGTTGACTGTTCCGTGAAAATGTGTAAAATAAAGCCAACGATTTTTTTTTTATATAATTATAACGTAGTAAGTTTTTGTAATGTTTTCAAACTCTTTTTGTGTTATCGATGTACCCTGCGTCTGAAGTATTGTTTTAACACCTCACCACGGTCTTAATGGTTGAGAGTTTGTGACGTCACTGATTGGACAGTAACCAGTTCAAGCTGAACTTACGCCATTTAAAATCAACTACCGATTAAGTTACCCATTTAGATATATAAAGCAGGTGTGTCAGGAAGTAATTTGCAAGTGAAGTATCGTTGAGTGTTGTTGGGCAGGTGAACGGTAATAAAGTCACAGGGAAAAAAGTCACAATTAAGGTAATAAAACTAAAAATATTTTAAAAGTTATTAACTGACAATACATGATTTTTACATATTGACAACACAATTTATATATGATGCACGTAGGTTAGGTTAGGTTAGGTTAGGATGGGTTGGGTTGGGTTGGGTTAGGTTAGGTTAGGTTAGGTTGGGTTGGGTTGGGTTAGGTTAGGTTAGGTTAGGTTAGGTTAGGTTAGGTTTTTTCCGTGCCTTTTTTTTCTGTGACTTTTTTACCTGGCTTCGTTGGGCAGCAAGTACAGTAACTAAGTGTGGCCTTCACTTCAAGTAGCAGCTTAATTGTCAGTTAAGACACAAATAAACGGTACTTAGGTTACGGTTTAACTCAAAACACATATTAAATTTCATTATTCACAAATAAACGATGAAACAGAACATTTCTGAACGATTTATCGTCACTGTAACGTTGATCAAGTCAAAATCCAGCTTGAGCCTGAAAGCAACTGTTTACTCCAGTCTATTGTAACTACAGGTTGACAACCCTTTATCCGAAATTCCGAATTCCGAAAAGCTCTGAAAACCGAAAGTTTTTTTGTGGGGCAAAATTTTTTTTTTTTTTTTTTTAACAGGGGTTAGCCCACCCGGGCATAGATCACTGACCCACATCGGGGGGCGAAAATGTAATAGTAATAATAATTATAATAATAATTATTCATAGTAAATAAAAATTTTTAATAAAAAATACACCAAAATAAAATAATAATGATAACAATAATAACAGTAATACTGTAATAATAAATTAATAATAATAAATAAATACAAGAATGAAAAAAATATCAAAAGTGAGAAACACGACCTGGACTTATGAATTATTATTAATATTATTATTATTATAATTGTTATTATTATAATTTTTTATATATTTTCGCGCCCCCCAGGCCCCAATGTGGGTCAGTGACTTGTGCCCGGGTGATCTAAAAAAAACTAAAAAAAAAAAAAAAACTAACCATTCTGAAAACCGAAAAATTCCGAAATGCCTCTGGCCCCAAGGATTTCGGATAATGGATTGTCAACCTGTATAAGTTTTGTTGCTTTTATCATCAGATTTAGGACAGTCCCTTACTTTGTTTACAGAGTTGTGCACCTGATAAGAGCGAGACTGGAGACTTACTTCCTGGCTACACAGAGGCAGA